ACAGCTCTGCATGCATCCCCTGGATATTATTTTAGAAACTGCTTTCATCGCGATGCGATGTTTACAGAGAGAACAGCTGTGAGGTCCGTGCAGAAAGCAGAGCAGTGTGTAAAATATATATAACTCGGTATAACAGGCCTATTCTCTTTATTTGCTTTAGTTTAGTAGATATCTACAAACAAAGAGTCGATATTTGTCTAAGACCATTTAGTGCTTCACATAATAAAATACACAACGGCTGTAGCCTGTTTATGCTTTAGGAGTTGTGTGTGTGTGTGTGTGTGTGTGTGTGTGTGTGTGTGTGTGTGTGTGTGTGTGTGTGTGTGTGTGTGTGTGTGTGTGTGTCGTAGTGTGTGTGTGTGTGTGTGTGTGTGTGTGTGTGTGTGTGTGTGTGTGTGTGTGTGTGTGTGTGTGTGTGTGTGTGTGTGTGTGTGTGTGTGTGTGTGTGCAGATGCGGCGGACAGACAGGTCTCAGTTGGTTTGGTGTCCTATGCTTACTTTTAATACTTGTAAATAAAAATGTTGGCCCGTAATTTCGTTTACGCCGGGGGAGGTGGGATATATCCAGTTACGTTATTATGCTTTGAGTGCTCTTATACTTGTTTGAATCTGAAATTGTATATATTTATATAAATATATATACCTATATACAGTATATATATGTGTGTATATGTCCGCATCTGTAGCCTGTTATTGTCTCGTTATACCGCACTGTCAATTAATTAAAAGTAAATATATAAGTCATCATGAACACATCTGTCCATCTGACAGAGTGCTGCTGTGCCTCCTGTCATCATTAATGGACGTCTCTTTAAAATGACCGCTCGGAGGAGAGGAGTTCTCATTTCTCTAACCGCCAGATGGTTCCCCACCTCTCTCCTCGGTTCCCCCCCTCGGCTCCTCTGCTCGCATCTCCTGTGAGCGGGACTATGACACGAGGATAGGAGTCGAGGATAGGAGTCGAGGAGGGGAAATTAGTGAAATGAGAAAGGCCCTCTGTCTTCCTACTCTCATGAGGTTCAGTCTCTGCCGACATCTCACCCCAATCCTTTCCATTGTTTGTTTTGTTGTTTTAACTGCAACTCTGACTGTGTGTTGTTGGCAATTAAACCTCCATTGATTTCTGTAATAAAAACCACACGTTGTCTGCAGCACCATTTAAATAATCAATGCAGTGGATATGTTGGTTATATATTGAAACCTTTAACCTGTTATATGTTGTTTTCATGGTCAATATATGCATGGGAAACATTTAATTGTTTTCCCTTGCTACATTAATTGACCTTAGTTAATATAATTTGTTATTTTCTCATCTTACATGCTTACTCCCTCTCCTTCTCCACTTCCTTTCTCTTCCTGTCTGTCTTCCCTGACTTCCCTTTTTCTCTCACCTTCCAATGTCTTCTTTAACTTGTCATCTCTCACTCTTCGGTTATGTTTCCGTAAGGGGTAGATTTTACAGTTACATAATTTGTTTGTGTATTTTTTATCTCAAATGTTCAAGGCTTCAGTAATTTTCTTTTAACATTTGTAGTATTCTTTCCATCCCTGGTTGTAAGAAATATCTGCAAAATGAAAAATTAATCAGTCCTAGCTTTGTATTAAAGAAGACTTTATAAGATTACACAAGTCATTGAAGACCAGTAACTCTCATCTGACGACATGTTATTTAATAAAATTGAAATAATCTTTCCTATACCGTCATGTGAATTGTTTATTTTTAATGAATGAAGTTCCATGTTCTCTTTTATCCAATTTCTTGCTTTTGGATTCATGCTCAAATTAAAATTGCTCATACATTTTATTCTCGTTGCTTCTCGTGATTAACTATCCTTTATTACACCAACAAAGTATACAACCACATAAGCGGCCTGATTGAAATGGCACACTGTTCTGCTGGATGCTGTGGTCTTTCCCTGATTGGAGAAATCTTACAGTTAGCATACTTATTTAAGTTAATCCAAAGGGATGTGTGTGGATATGTCCTGTGGATGTGCATTTATTTGTCCGGGTGTATGTGTGAGCCACAGTAATTGTTGTTCAGGGTTATTAATTCTGCTTCATTGCCAAAGTGGAAACTTGTTCTGCTTGATCAGCTGCTACACATGCTTAGCAGGGCCTCACTATAGGTGTATCGCTGTGTGCATGAGAAATTATTAATATCCTACTGCTCTTAAAAGGCTTTAGTAGATTCAACCTTTTACTCGTAGAAAATACACACTTTAATGTAAAGCTGGATTCTGTTGTCTCAGCTGATGTGGCATCTCCTGGCCAAAGCTAATCTTCAGACGCAATAGCTGAGCAGAGCTGAGAGCTGCTTTTTGGATGCTTTAAAACACATGGTGTGTGTCTGGTGGAACCTGGGCATTGTGTAGAGTGGCAGCCATCAGCTCTGCCCGCTGGAATAGTATTGTTACCGAATAGACCATGTGCATGCTGTCAAGTAAAAAAGTTAGCAATATCACCCGCTTTAAAGCTGCATTCTGCCATGTACAGTAGCATACTGTCGGGAGTGTAGTTTATTTTCTAAGAGAGTGTGTGTGTGTGTGTGAAAATGGGTCATGATGAAGAGAGAATTTGAAATGAATAAACTTAATTGTACTTTAAATGCAATAATAAATGTAACCCTGCTGTGCTGTTCATGGCCAATTCGTATTTGACCGGTACTCACGGTCAAATTTGACTGGTCTGTTTTAACTGCACTTCACCACAACATTTTATTCAACACCGTATGAAGCTGGAAACAATATCTCAGAATACTGGTTTACATAAATAACTGAGGTGAATATACAAAGAATAGGCTCTAAAAATGTATTCCAAAATTTACATTTTATCGATTTGTGGGTGTGTACTACACTGATTTGAGTATCTGTTGGATGAACATTACAGGGTTAACCATTTCCTATGATGGTCATTTTTGACCAGAAACATCATAGGTGATCAAAATTGATTAAACCACTCAAATCTATCAGCAATTGTATATGTTCAAATGCCATACTGTGGAGAATATCATACTGTAAGGCTGTGAGGCAATCAAATATATATTAATGATTGATGACGGTAGTAAATCGGTTAGATTTGACCCGAACACGACAGGAGGGTTAATGGGAACATACCATTAACACTAAAAGACACACCATGCACAAATAATATTTCTTTACACACAAATACAAGTGTAAGCTCTGGATCCTGACCCCCACATCAACAAATCCCTTTTCAGTATCAGTGTGTATATAAAGTAATGTCCTGAGGATGATCTTTCTCCCTGACATAATAATTCACTCTACCTGCAACTATGATGTACTCCTTTTTCTCAAACCTTTTTATGTTTATTTCTTTTGAACTCTTATCACTAATTTCCTCTACCTTGTTCACATTCTTAGTGCTTTTAACATTCACTGTATACACAATATAATACTGAACACTGCAATTATCAACGACATTTCAAACCTCTGATGAAAAACCAGCATCGATTGTCAGAGGAAGGTCTGCAACCGTCTGTAAAATGGCAAAAAACTAACTTAAATTGTTATCAGGATTATTGTCAAATGGACGTGCATGATGAGTAGTGCAATAATTAAGAAAGTGAATGATACAGACACATTTTCCACTCTTTGTCTGAGGGGGGTTTTGTTTTGCCAACCTTTGAAACCGCCTGGCCTGCAGGAAGGCAGCTAGATCAACTGCAAAAAACATCTACAGGAATGATGTCTTCGTCATGGGGTCGCATCGCTGGTAGACTGGGGCACACCACAGAAATTATCCCTATACAAGCCGCTTCAAGTTAGACGATATCATGCCTGAATCCACCGAGCAAATTGTCATGGAAGGACTCTTTCATAGGTTGCCCACAGAAGTTGCAGTCCGATCTCTGACCACAGCCCTCAGTTTTTTGAGCCCTTAGGGAAAGATGGAGGGCACAGTCCTCCACAGATCCACTGAAGCAGCAGAGTGAGTGTAGATGGCTGAGGCTCAAGAGAAGAGCACCAAGGGGAACTGAGCAGTGGGCCATCTGGACACAAGCTGGGGTCTGATTCTCAGCTGGGTCGCCGGTGCAGGATGTTAGAGACTTAAAACACCAAATGTTTCCTGGAACATCTCTGACAGCTGTTATACAATATTTATTTTGGTATAACTGTTGGTGAACATTCATTAGCTCCGTCTCCAGCATGCTTTGATTTGCGGCATTGTTTGAAGTACACCTAAAAACTCAACAGTGTAGCATTAAAACCCCACCGACCAAACTGAATTTTTGGTAGCAGACACAACGCATAAGTTTAAATGCTCACAATGGAATAGGGCAAACTACATTATTTAGCCTATTTAGTGTTAATGAAATAAACATCCACAGCACACATTACATAGTAAAAGAATAGCAAGTATTATAGGCAATTTTATATATTATAATTGAAGTTCAGTGAAAACAACATTGTTTTTTGTTATATGGGCCTTTTTTTGTTTTTAAACTCCCGTTGTCACTATGCCTCTCATGTAGGGATGTGCATCTCCATCACTGAGGCCGATGCGATGCGCATCTCGATACGTTGCCAACGATGCGATACATTAACGATAAATTTGAAGCAACAGGCGATGCGATACGATACGATTCACCCCTGTTGCGATACAGTTCGATACGATTTGATTCAACATTATGCGATTCGGGGCGATACAATTCAACACAATTCAAAATAAGGATACTTCAATATGGTACAACAGAGGATTTTGTTTTATTCCTTATATGCAGCAAATCATACATTAACAAATAAGTGCTTTACATATTTGGTTCCCTCTACTAGTACTGCGCATCCCATCATGCTGTTTCTTTTTTACCTTAAAAAAACAAACACTTGGACCTTTCAAAAACAGGCCTTTTCACAAGTGTAGTAGTGCTCTCTGTCTCCAGAGTACAGTACAATGTTATAACACCTCACAGTTAAACAATTTAAGGATGCATTGCCCATGATTAACAATTTGCAAATAATAACTACCACAGTGCAATGCCCATACAGCTGCCAGCCTGATGTGCTTAACACTCATAGGCTAACTCAACAGTGAGCAGAAAGCATTGGTGTGGTTTCTATAGGAACAATAAAAAATACAAATAACCTTTCACAAACAGGTATTTCATAACTGCTTACAATTGTAAGGAAGACATTTAAACTATTATTGGCCGTCACAGTCTGCTGTATACTAAACACCACTCTCACTGACAGAACACCTCACTGAGTGATTGAACTCATATGTCTTACTTTTAGACGCCACGTCGTACTAGCTTACTTGTGTACTTTAAAGTGGCTCGGTATCGTTTACAATTTGCGAGCGATTTTTCAAGTTGTCCGTCTTTCTTGAAATATCTGAAGTGTTGCCAAACGTTTGATTTGTAGGTATTTTTATGTGCACTGTGGGTGTTTCTCAATGTCGAGGACGTTTTCTTGGTAGCACATGTACCTCCGAGTCAGATGCTTCAGAAGCGAGGCAATAATCCTTTTCCTAGCCTCGGAAAACGAAGAATGGTGGAACAGGCTAACAGGCTAACAGGTGTGCAGGTGTGCGTAATATGCGAGGCCCCGCAATAAATGGAACGCGATTTCCCCCAAAGATTTGGAAATTCGTCCGTGCGCAAAGCATTGTGGGGACCACGGAGTCTACACATGTGCAGCCTCAACATTTTCCGCTACGAAGTACGCTGGAGGAGCCTTCCTCGACATTGAGAAACACCCTCAGTTTCTCTTTCTCCTCGACTTCCATGTTTGTTGATAACTGAGACTCTCTGCCTCCGTAGTGGCGAAGCACTCTTCACTCTGCTGAGTGCTGACAGGATGAGAGGATATTATATGAATGAATCGTTTTCTTATCGATGCAAAGACGCTACAATCGATGCATCGCGAGTTCTACCCAAACTGTAGCCGATGTGCACTCTTTCAACTGGTGCACTCGCATTTTGAACGTTTATGCCGGTGCAGCGATGCAAATCGGTGAATCTTAACATCCCTACTCTCATGGCTTGTCGTAATAAAAGACAAAGGAAAAATGAAAACATATTTCTTCCTTTTTTATTACTTTTGTCTCCAAGATTATCTGATTGCAAGGTGACCGAATGGTGATATCAAGACTGATGTTTGGATTGCTGAACTTCCTCCCTGTGTGCTGGAATAAAAATAGGTGCCTCTATATAGTAATCCAATAGACAAGACAGGCGTGCAGGCTCAACCACACACACATCTGACTCTTTGGCTTAAAATGTATATGGAAAAACGTAAAGCTTTACTATATGGGATAAGTCCGAGAAGGACAAAGCTTTACGGTGAGTTGTCAACGGTAGGAGCAGAGAGCGAGGAAGAGAGGAATACAAAGGAATACACAGAAGCGAAAGTATAGAAGCATCTGGAGGAAGTAAAGAAAATGAACTCAGAAATAGGAATTTTATTACCAACTGACATGGGCAATTACATTTACACAACTATGTTCTGTTCAAAGTCATGCAGTCAGTACAACACGGGATAGTTTAATATATAATTTGCCTCTATCAATATTGCACCGATGATAAACATCAGTTGTGGCCTGCGCATTATAATGACATGACCCCATTTGACAATCTATGGACTTGAAAAAAGTTTGCTTACATGGCTCTGACGGTGAGAAGGTGTTGGGAGCAGTGTGGGCTGCACACTGATGGGACTATGAGTTTTTACTCAATTACTATTTAATTGGATAGACATACTTTGAACCGTAACATAACATAAGCCTGCTTTTCAATGTCCATTTTCTATTAAAATGTGTTCATTCATAAAAGGTGTGATTTTATAATGTAAATATATTTTTCAAAATGTTCTCTTAGATATAGTGCTGGTATTCCTCCTATCCTTTGCAACCCTTAATTTGGAGAAATGTTGTAGTGGCAATTTCTTATATTACTTTATATGGTAAAACCAAATGATGAATGATATTATGCTTAGAAACTGTTTGGTCAACTCGACCTGTTGTACCACACGGTAGCTTCCTGCCAAGGTCGTACTTGGAGGATGCGGCCCTCCCTATGAGAGCATTGTAAGATAACAGTTTTCTAAGGAAAGTCTTATCTCTTTTACTTCCTGCACTGCAACAGTCCTCTATAAAACACACACACTATACCCTGTGTGTACTCCTGCAGACTACTCTGTAATCTGTGAGACATGTACCTTTGAAGCGCTTCAAATAAAGAACCAACGAAAGACAACGCTGCTTGCTTTCACCAGTTTATTATTGATTACTCTCATTGTACATCTTTACAGTATTGACGAGTTTAAAATATCCACGACAATGTGTTATTTTTCCGTACAGAACCTCCCCTTCCACTGACTTCCATCCATTGCAGTTCAGAGAGTGTCTTTAATTTCAGTAAGTCTTGGTTTTCCAATGTGGGGTCATATAATTTCTGTATGTGTTGTGAGATTGTGATATGGATTAGATTTTCATAATGTGGCTCCATGCAGATTAGTTTTACAGTTGACGTTGATCTACTTGTCGCTGGTTATGTCTAGTATAGTTGGGTGGTAATCTAAGATGTGTTATAGTTCTTCTTGTTGAGTTAGGGAGCTGCCTTTTTACAAAGTCAGCAGACTTTTATGCTACCGAAGCAAGCTAATGCATTGCTCATTGCTATGTGAAACCATGTGAGGCTTGGTAATGATTTCAACACAGATATGGATGTTTTCATAAAAAAGAAGCAGATGAAGAAATGCTGTTTGAATTCATTCAACTTTAAAGGATAAAATAAGTAAAAGGATATTCAAAGAGTCATACAGAGGGTGGCGCAAAGTGAGAAGGAGATGAAGGAGGAGGCTACTGCATGGCCGAACAGCGACTGTCTCCATTAGTTGCAAAGTAGTTCTTTATGGTTTTATGGTTTGATAAATGAGCTGTAATTGACAGAGAGATTATTTCTCTGGATACTATTACACTCTGCAGCATAAGAGCTGTTCACTTTCTCTCACACACACACACACACACACACACACACACACACACACACACACACACACACACACACACACACACACACACACACACACACACACACACACACACACACACACACACACACACACACACACTACACGTACGTCGTACTACACAAC